CGACGGGATGGCTGCTGTGACTGGATAAGGTGGCGAACGGTGGAGACGAGTGGCGGTGGCGATGCGAGGTGATGCTGTTGTGGCCAGACGGCGGAGGCGAGGCTGCAAACTGGTTGTGGAAGGCGGAGGTGTCGTGGAGGTTTGATGGCGGCGGCGGTTGCTCTGGCCGTCTAGTCAGAACTCTCACCGTGGGCTTTGTACGTGTCGCCGGAATCGGTGGAAGGTGGCGGCATCGGGTATGTCGACGGCGGCGACATTACCGGCAGGCTTGTTGTAGTGGCTGGATTTGTCTTCTGTCCGCCCGTGTACTGAAGCGGGGATGGAGGAGAAGTGGAGAGGAGAAGTGGAGAGGAGAGAGGAGAGAGGAGAGAGGAGAGAAGAGATGTGTTTTATGAGTGGGTCACACTTATTTTGTGGGTTGGTAAATTACACACATGCCCTCCCAGGTATTTATTTGCCCATGGGTTAATTATATAATCACGATTTTGCCACTACAGATTTGACTTTGTAACTCAATTTTGACTTCATCATGTTCATAGATATGTTGGATCGAATGATTCACAATCATTCTTATTTCTTTCACAATGTATCATTCTCATATGATCCCTTCTCTCTTTCTCTCTCTTTATATATATATATATATACTAGATGGGTTTATGCCGTGCACGCACGGCGGTCTAACACCGGTGTAAAACTACTGTGAAGATTTGTCATAATTTGTTGCAGCTTTTATTCTAGCGTATGTTGCATTTGTTCGCATATAATGTGTTTTTTTTTGTTTCTATCGAAATGTTTTAAGATTTTGCTTTGTTGAATTTCACTAGTGGTTTATGAGTTGCGAGGTTGTTTAAATCCGTGTATATGTGCATACATCTGAAACTAAAATCATGGTCCAACTTTTCTACTTACGATTTCGTCTATTGATTCATAAACATTTTATGTGTTGCGTGTATTGTTTCCATTCTCTTATACACTTAACAAACAGAGCTTTGCTCAAGCACAAAGATAGCCACTCTTTCCCCCTGTTGGGAAATAAACATGAGAGTTGAAGGATCTTTGGCATTATTGCCATTTATTCCCAAGTAAAAGTTATAAGTTTGAGAATTGGTAGTCAACAGGAAGATAGTCACATAAAAGTAAACATCTATTTTTTTTTTTCTTCATAAGTTTATATTTTTTACCCGGTTCTCTTTTATCCGTTCAACTCTGCTCCATTGGCCAACATGGGTTAGTACACAACTAATATCTATTCGCACAGAAACATATTGCAGAATCGACTGATAAAGCAGTAGTAACCATTCCAGTATTTCCAACACACTCGAATGCATAGTCCGCCCCTCCATCAGTAATATGGTTAATAACCTGCAAACGAGATACAAACACGCAAAACTTAGATTTACAATTAAAAAACACAAGATCAGGAATTTGTGTGAAAACCTACTCAATTGATGGAATTTCACCTAAATTAAATGAGAAAAATAAACCTGATGAATTGGTTGGTCGTGATCATTTGGGTTCAGAAAGTCTGTTACTCCAAAAGCCATTGTTGTATCATCAACAGAAAATAAAACAATAGTCCCCAGAAGATCTTCTATGGCATTACATGTAATGTCCCTCAAGAATTATTTCTTGTCTGCTTTTTGTTTCCAATCATCCGTATTTGATACTTAGTCATCCTCCCTCAAGAATTATTTTTTGCCGCTTCATCTAACTGACATAATCAATCTCCCAAATATTATATTTTAATTATTGGTGATGGCATATGTCTCTATCCCACAAATACTACTATTAACTTCACTAAATATACAAATTGAAGAGTCTTCTCATGCCAATGTTGTGGTGAAGAAGGAATATCTTCAAACTCATCCAACTCAATTTGCTGAAATAAATAAACATTATTTAGAAAACAACAAAACACAACTAAAAATGGTGCGCGCAAGCGAAAAAATGATTCGTGACTTGAGGATGATTTGTGATGTAATACGAACCACTCTGATGCTTTATAGGGACACGTCGGTGTCAAACTCTGATGCTTTGGAAAGGTAATTACTCTCAAAGGCAAATGTACTTTATTTGGTATGGTCACCACTGCCCAGTTGGCCAGTTTATTATACTAGCAACGTTGAAGAGGAGTTAACAGTTCATGGGCTCCCATCCAACCTAGTAAAGTTGTATTGTTCATTATAATTGCTCCTTCAAATACACCTATTCATATAAATCAAATTATATTAACTGACACTTAATTCCTCTTCTTCATTACACATTTAATATTTTTAGGAATGATACAACTCTGAGAAAACTGCATTTTTCCCATCAAACAACTTTGTTTATCAATATAAACCAAATCAGCAGTTTTCAGTCTTTCCATCAAATTTCACCAATATAGACGCAGCACCTTGTACAACAACATTAAGATATAAAGAGTAGAGTAACAAAAAGAAAAACAATAAAGTTAACCCATCAACTCCAATGGGGAAGGAAACCAACAACGTATATCTATATATTACGAAACCACTTGCATGAAATTTCAAAACAGGGTATTCAAAATGTGATATAAGATCCAATAAATCATAAAAGGGTGCTAACAAACACGTTGATAATAACATGACACTTAATTTAACAACAATTTAACAAATTATATTACCTAGGCTAGAATGTGTGACACAAGTATGATATGACCAAGTAGCATATTAAGCAGCATCCAACAAACAATCAAGAATATGTTTTGTAGAAACCGAGAGCTAAAAAGGATGAATACCAAAGCTATACTTCAACTGAGTGTCAACAGTCTCATCTTAAGACGATTAAATTACTGCTAATTATTTTTACCTTGCCAACAGGCGAGGAGAAAACTACTTTTACAGCCTCAAACACTTCTTCAACTGGTTTTGCAGCATTTATCTAAATTAAAAATTCAAAACAAGAAAAATAATAAAGGAAAATTAAATGTCATTATACTTGTTCTATAACAGATGAAGTAATCGTGATAAAAGTCGGGCCTGATGATAGAAATTTACCTTGCGGACCTTCCATTTAGCATTGTAATATCAATAACTGGGAGAGTAGACTCCATATACACCTTAAATCTCTTTCTTATTGTCTCTATGTTATCTGTCTTCTCTACCCTGCAAACAGGAAAACAAAGAAATGCACACTATAAAATAAAAACCGAAATAAATAAGGATAGATATATACCAACACCAGACGAAGAACGAGAGGAAAACAAGCACCTGGTTCCTACTTAACAAACGCCTCTCCATTTCCTCCTCTGGACAATCAAAGAAGAGTATAAATTCTGGCACAACTCCAGTCAACACAAAAAGAATCACCCTTATTTTCTGGCACAGAATGATTGGACGTGGCGCCGTTTGAGGTTGCTTGTCCTGAAAATATGGACTGGAGTTTTGATTTTTTCATGGCCATCTTCTCATCTGATTTCTTATCTAGAAGACAAAATCCATTGTGTTTTCTTTTTATTCAATTTTTCTCTCTACGAAAACCCCTCTAAACCCTCGCCTAATTTCATTCCAAATTGACAACACTCCAAAATCTCTCAAGGTGGAACAAACCTCATAGCTAATCTGAAAAACATTCATATACCGCATGGTCCTTATTTCCTACTTCCTAGTGTGCAATCATCAATCATGAAGATCTTAAATGGATATTAGATGCTAAGCAAAATAGTACTTTTTCTGCCATGTACAAATAGCGATTAGTATATATAATATTGAATTTTGATCGTCTACTGGATGCTCTATTCATCTGTTATTACAAAACATCATTATGCGCATGTAACATTCATTAGAAACAGAATAAGCCTTTCTAGTTGGACCAATGTAAACAAATTTTTCCAGATTCATTACAGATTAGAAACAGATTTTTTCACCAATGTAAACATAAAAAGACTAAAAGAGAATAAAAATCAACCACTTTGAGTAGAAAATTTTATTATGCATAACATCACCATTAAATAATAACACGAGCCTAAAACTCACACAAATATATGGATAAAATGTTCAAAACAGAAGCACGGACACACACACACACACACACACACACACGAGAATACAAGGCCACACCTTCGATTGCCTCGCACTGGGTTTTGAACCCAACCTGCTTTTCCAGTAGCGATTGTCGCCCTTTCCTAGCGCTTTACCTTTCCCCGCCCAAACCAAAGACTTTCATTCGGCAAAACTAATTTATCTACAAGCTATTAAAAATTCAGTCACATGATCATTTGTTTATGAAATTGCAACCGATTAATTTTTTATTCATTTTATTATTTATTTTTTTGACTGATTAGCAAATAATGCGAATGCAATCTTTTCTGGTATTTTGCGATTTTGTTGACTCAGAGGTCGGGGAGCGGATGGTTTGAGACATTATTGAATAGTCATATGAATATAAGTTCGAATTGAGAAATATTCTCGGTTAAGGTTAGTAGGAGTAATATTTCTACTATTGTGGAGACATTGGATCAAATTTATAATTTGGATTGATTATTCAAGGATGATGCCACCTGAAACACGCTGAAGGTATCGATTGAGGCATTAATCACAGACAAAGCTTTAATGGAGTAATGTGCAAGGGTAGAGGATAAAAGAACAGAAATGCATAAGCATTATCACTCATAATAGCTCATTTCACTTCATAAGGCAGTAACAGTAAGTCATATTTTTTTCTAACACAATTGTAAATAACCCCACCAAGTGTGTGCAAGATGAATCAAAATTTATTTCTAGTGTCGGAAAATTTCAAAAAGAATAAGAAAGTGGACCTTGTTGATTCCAAGAATGCCTAGTAGTTGATCTTGATATTCCACAAAACACAAGGCTCGAAGCTGCTGATGACATACACCATTATAGCAGTAGCTAATGCAGAAGGCAAATGGCACATGAATCTACAGTCTGCAAGAACAAAAATATACAAAAACCAGAACAATCACAAAAGGGGCATCAAGAAAAACTGAAACTAAACATTATGAGTAAATAAATATTCACCAGAAATCACAGAAACAAGAAGGCACTCACATCTCCTCAGAAACTCCTTGCGAAAATGGTCTTTGAATTTAAGGCTTCTCGCAATGTACTCAAGAAATGAGAGTGGAGTAACAGGGTTCATCCTCCATTGAAGGGTAGAAAGAACCAAAATCTCCATTCTCTGAATTGTCTTTGGCTCAAACACGTACTTGGGATCCTCCACTTGAGAAAACAATCAACAGATAAAAACATCTTAAACTCCCAATCTAACCACATTGTTAAAAAAGGTAAACAAAAATAAAAAAAATCACACATCAAGATTGGATTTTTATTTATGTATTATCATTTTCACATACTTGGAGGTCCAAAAGTAGAGGAACTTGAGTCTCCTCAACTTCAGCAGGAAGAGAGAGGCAAGCCACAACAGCTAGCTGAGTCACCCATGGTCTTTTCTCCCCATGTAACTCAAACCCGCACAAAAACCTATCAAGATAGTCAACTGCAAGAACCACAGTGAGGGCAGAAAAGGAATAGTGCCCAACGACCTTGATCATCCACTCCACCCCCTCAACCCTAGCCTTCACAAAAAACGAATTTCCCTCAAAGCCACGTAGCGGTTCTTTTTCTTGCTATTTGACCAGCAACAACCTCAACTCATCATCTTCCCAAAGGTCCTGCTCCAGAAACTCCACAATAAGGTTGTTCTTTCTCCTCGCCCTTTTATCAAGTAGTTGGTGTGCGAAACTGAATCTTCATTGTCCCATAGACATTGCTCTTTCAGCGGTTGACGGCGGAGCTCCTTGCCCACGGCGTAGAATCGTGCGCCTTCACGCCATAGAATCGTGCACCTACAAACTCTTCAATGGGTGTCCCATCACCACCGCCCTAGACTCCTCTGATTCCTCCGCAAGGCCGCGCGATGTCTCCCACAGAACGCGCCCCTACTGCGCCGACCACGCCACCTCCTCCTTCTCCATCGCCGCCGTCCACTCCACGAGCAGCGAGTTTCGATTTCATTAATATTTCCGTTGCAGAAGACGAGAAGGATAAAAAGAGGAATTATTTTTGATTCCATAATAATTCTGCTAGTGTTTGAAGGAAAAAGAGAAATCTTGTTTGGAGGAGAGGAACGAAAAGAGGAGAGCTCCGTGATTAGGGGTTTGAGATTGAGACTGAAGAGCAGAATGGATAATCTCAGTTTCAATCTTTTTCGGTCAATGTCGTGTGCTGAAAAAACGGAAAAGTGGCTGTCATTCCATGTCTCAAGATTTTGAGGGAGAAATGAGTTTAAGAGATTATGAATGAAGAAAGAAGAGGAAATGGGGGAGAAATTGAGACGTGCGAAAGCCTTTTTTTCGGATTGATTTGACAAATAAGGAAACGTGCGCAGACCACCATACATCAATGCCAATAAGTCGGTCAATGTAAAAGAGCTGAAACTCTAAGCAGTGGCATCACTCATAATTATCGGGAAAAACTAAGGTCATCTCCAGCCCTTATCTCTACTCTAGCGCGAACTTTACTCTACTCTAGAGTAGAGTTGAATATTTATCTATCTCTATATTTTATTCTACATTAAATATATTATTTTTTATTCATTTTTTATTTCAAATAAATTGGAACATTTATCTATCTCTATATTTTATTCTACATTAAATATATTATTTTTTATTCATTTTTTATTTCAAATAAATTGGTATATATGTATATTTAATCTTATATAAAATGTTAATTACTCAAATAATAAAAATATATTTTATTTATTTTTATTAGCAGTGGCATCACTCATAATTATCGGGAAAAACTAAGGTCATCTCCAGCCCTTATCTCTACTCTAGCGCGAACTTTACTCTACTCTAGAGTAGAGTTGAATATTTATCTA